GCCTGCTATGCAGCAAACTAGATGCGTTTAGATACCAACAAGAAGCACAAATCACAGCGCAGCAGCAGCAGCAGCAGCAGCAGCAGCAGGAGCAGCAGCAGGAGCAGCAGCAGGAGCAGCAGCAGGAGCAGGAGCAGTAGCAGTAGCAGGAGCAGCAGCAGCAGCAGCAGCAGCAGCAGCAGCAGCAGCAGCAGCACCAGGAGCAGTAGCAGTAGCAGTAGCAGAAGCAGAAACAGCAGCAGTAGCAACGTAGATATATACATGCATCCATGCATCCGTGCATACATACCTGCATACTTACATACAAATTACATCCATACATCCATATTTACATACATCTGGGCAGTTGTAGCAATAGGTATACATACAAGTGTGCGCACACACACACGCAGAGTTCAAGTTTCCAATGAACGACGAATACACACATACCGCTATACATATATACATATATATACACACACATGTATGTATATGTGTATGTGTATGTGTATGTGTATGCGTATGTGTATGTATACCCCGCAGTAGGATTTAGGGGCTTGGAGGTTTAGGAGTCAGGTTTGGGATTTAAAACCTAAACCCTACACCCGACACCCTAAACCCTAAGCCCTAAACCCTAAACCCAAGGGTTTCGGCCCTAGGGCCTGAACCCTAAAACCCTAAACTCACAACCCCTATATGTATCTGTATATGTATGTTTGTGCGTGTCTTAGGCCAAAACGCAGCTGAGCACATTCGATCTTTCCAGTACCAGCCAAGGCCACCGCTGCGGTGAGCTCTCAAACTCTGGCTGATGTTAACGACGATCTTCCACTGGTGGCCCGAGGAAACATAGAGGTCTGATTACCAAGAGTGTCCCCCATGGCCCTGTGTTATTTTTAAACCATAACTTACCCCCCCCCCCCCCCCCACATAGCCCTGTGTTGGTTGATCAGTAAGGTTGCTAGATCAACAGCAGGATGGGGTCTTCCTCTTCTGGAGTCAAGAATCGGATAGCTGTAGGATGCCGCATTCAGGCTTCAAGATTCAGGGCATGGTCCTTTTGCTCTGTGGTGCCACCGTCTCTTAGACCCATGCCTTACACAACGAAGACTCTGACGTCTCTGTTTCGAAATTGGGTGAAACCCTGCACTCAAACCAAACCATGGCCCTGATCCAGGGTCTTAATTAGACGCCAAACTGGCACCCCCATGATCGTAGGGATCAGGATTTATAGTTAAGTACTGGGTTTTTTTGGTAAAGATCCCTCCAAAAGTCCTGTTCTGATGGAACCCGTGGGCAAATTTCCGGCTTCCTCAGACAGCCTTGCGCCACCCTTGGGCGGGCTTCTAAACAGAAGAGCACCGCAGGCCAGCTGCAGTTCCGACCTGCTCGTACATCGATAGAAGGACCAAAATGGTACTAATAGTGTAAGAGCTGGGACTAGTATTCTCTTATAATCCCAAAAAGTTGCAAGGAACAAACCACGCCCAAAGCCCTCTTAGAATGATTATGGCCCGTTCATGAGCGACAAACCGGTGGCTTTTCTAAGGCTCTATGTTGCCCCAAACACCAAACCGATATGCTCTCCGCACCGGCTTGTGAAGTGAAATAGTTGAGACAAGAAGCGCTTGACGGGTACGGGTTTCGTGTTGGTGGTTTCAGGATTTAGGCCACCATAATTCATAAGTCCCGAAACTCGAATCCCTGAACAGCCTTATCCTAACCTACCCACCCGGCACCCCTCAGACGGCCCTCCGCTATTCCATTTTCGGGTAGGGCCCGATGAAGCGACGCAGAGACTGCAAAATGGCCAGCCACAACCGGCGCATGACTAATGTTTAGCTTCTGTGCTGAGCAGTGAAGCTATCCGTCTCCGACGATGCCGTTAGCATTTCCAGGTCATTTGCGTAGGGATTTGGGCAATCAGTGACTAGATCCGTTATTATTCTCTCTATATAATTGCACTGCGATATGCCCCAAGATCCTAACCTGACCTAATCCAACCACTGAGGCCCCACTGATGTTTCTGAACACACGTGTAAGTATGGTATGTCAGTGGGGCTTAGGGGCCAAACCAACTGGTCAATATAGGGGCCTTAATAATTGGAATAGGGTTTTTGGGCCCATTATACTATAACTATGCTATAGGTAATAGGTAATTAAATAGCCCTACATTACTTTGTGCCTGTTTTTATTTAAAGTCCTTGTGTACTCGAAGCCAAAGTTGTAAAAGGTCTCTTCAAGACATCTCGTTGCAAAGATCTAAGTTGAAATGTTGTGCCAGCGACCCACCAACTCATCTTAAACCCCCAACGCTGGCGAGGGCCATTCCGGCCTCCCCCTTTTATCCGTTTTGTGGTTTAGGGAAGCTTGTGTTTTGATGAGGAATGTCTACACAGCACGTTTAGTTCGTGCCTGAATTAGGGCTTGCGGTGGGGTCTTCAACCCGTAAAGATCGGAGAGTTCGACCGGGTTGAGAGATTGGCCTTTGGGTAGTTTACTGCTTTCAGGTTTTAAGGTTGAGAATTGAGGGCAACGTGTCCCTAACTGCCGGATGCCCGACACAAGAACGGAAGTGTTTTCAGCTCCGCCTAGGCATCGCCGTCCGAGATCACAAGCTCCGTTAGTAAATGTGCGAGTCGTCGCGCGACATGTGCAGGAGTGTCGGATTTAGGGAGTAGGGGTTTGTGGTCCTTGAGTGTATGGCTGCACAGTATGGGATTTACAGGTTTACGGTTTAGGGTCGCAGAATTCATTGAGGTTGCACTCCGGGCTCAAGCATCAAGCAACAGCCAAAAGGCCCTAAACACCGTCACCACCGTTTACCCCTCTGTAAAGCATACATAAAACCTGCACAAGGTGGTTCTCCAAACCAGGGCCGCTGTTATGGTTCTTGCTATAGGATCCTAAAGGAACTCATAGGTAGAAAACCCCCTGTTTGAGGTTCTGCCGCAGGGCTTGTGGCACGGGTTGCTTATAGAGGTTCCTTTCTTTATCACAGAGGAACGGTCTTCTTGCGTTTCAGGCCAAGTGTTTAGGGTACACACCTTAGAACACACCTTGGAAAAGCCCCCCCCCAACATCTGCAAGCTAGTAGGTATGCAACGTGTACGCCTTGAGGCAGTGGGCAGTTCTCAGAAGCAGGTACGGTACCCTTGTCTGAACTGCACGTTGCACCTCTCGCGCGGCGCTGACTCTCTGGATAGATGTTGACTCCTTCTGCGAGAGCCGACGTGACGCCCAAGCTGGGTTATGGTTTCGGGGTTTAGGGATTTAGAGGCTGAACTGAACCACCACAGGCAAGGCATACCGATAGCCGTATTGAACGAGCCGATTTATACTGAATTTCGGTTGTGACACGGGTGTCGCTTGAAAAAACTCTCAACCAGCGACATATATCAGTGTTGTTTTCTAACTGTGCGTCCAAGGTACCTGCTCTGGATATGTCAAAACGGTTCTAAGTCATTAGTTATTGTAGTTTCATTTCTGCGCCAGCGCAAGCAAACAATCGCGAGCCTGTACTAAACCAGTCGACCCTTAAACGCTGACGCTGACGCCCAATCGACCTTTCTTGGAGGTACACCCTACCTGTGGATCCGAAAACCTACTGCTTGCAGGGTTATCACCCGATAATCATGGGTTCATGACGTAGTATTTTGTGGGCTAAACTAGGCCCTAGCCCCAAGCCACAGTTGACAATACAGAAGCCGCAGTGATTTGTCCGCATGCGGGGCCTCAGTCCATGGTGCTTACTGTTATAAATCCTGCATTACCTTAAGGACCCTAAATTATGGGAATTATGGTATATGCCTTGTTATGGGTAATGCAAGTTTTATATCATCAACCGTAGTTTAAAGGATCGAAACAACCAGTAATGGTATCTTCTTATGGTCACTTTTGCAGCCCATATCTGAGGGTTCGGGATTGACAAAAGTCTGCGGTTCTTTGCGCAGGGATCCTCTTGTAGGGGTTGGAGTTTTCTAAAGCCCCTAAAAGGGTTTTGGGTTCCCTATGCCCCGGCTAGGACTTATGCCGTCTAGGTCCTGCCAGCGGTACCCGCCTACTGCGTTGATTAGTTTTTGGCGGTCGTCTTTGTTAACTAGCTGAACGTCCATAGAAACGGCACCGTTCATCTGAGAGCTTGGGGTTTCGTCCGGGTTTCTCCCAGCACCCACGGCCTCGTGAGAAGTCAGTTCAGGTGGCTGGATCCCCGAAGTGGCGAAAAGCCTTGCTATCGATCGGTGAAACCGAGAGAAAAAACTTGAAGCGAGTCTTCCCTTAAGACCGCAGTGACTTAAAGTAGATGCCCAAAAGTTGGAAACCCAATGGCCTCAATCCTGAAGAGTCATGCATAGGGAATCCTAGCACTACTTGTCCTTAATCCGGTTTCCAACTTTTTTTGAGGTTTACTGTAGGTAATGGGTTACTGGATCAATATACTGATCCTTAATCGGTGCTATGTGTGATCAATAACCCTATGCTTCCAGGAACCTCATCATTGGGTCTTTAAGGGGTCTAGGGCCCCAACTATAAACCCCCTAAGCCCTAAACCCCTAAAACACAAAACGCAAGATCCGTGGAAGCATTGGGTAACCCTAAATTAGAGTAGGGTTTTTGGGGGTTCCTTGTTATGATTATGGTATAATATACCCCCCCAAAACCCTAGTCAGGCTATTGAGGCCGCTACATTAGGCCTTGAGGGCTTTAGGTTTCAGTAAGTACACGCACTTGCCGGATATCTCTTCCGATGGCGTGCCAGATCGACCCACTAACCTGGGCCCTAGATCCTACAGTGAAGCCTGCAAGTAGCCCCACATCCAGGCCCTCAAATGTTACTATGCCTCAAAGGATCCCCAGTG